AATATTTTACTTTTTTTTTAAACTATGTTCTTTTTAAACTTAATTAATATATTGTGAGCAGAAAACATCTATAATGTTGTTATAAGCAGAGTTTGTGTTTTCAAGGTTACATTATAAATAATATAGGTATTTTAAGTCCAATTACATTATGACACATGCATAGATCATCCAGGTCATATTTTAAAAATCTGAAAAATTTTTTAGGTAAAAAATCCGGAAAAAATCCGGAATATATTGTCCCTTATTTTTGTCTTAATTTTGCTTTTAGCTGAATTGTTTCCAATTTTTTTTTTATTAAAAACTTATAAACAGATATATAACAAAAATTTTGTATGTAGAGAAAATGTTTTGGATATCCGGAAAAACTAAAAACTGAAAAAAATATCCGGATTTCTGGAAATATTCTGAAAAACCCCTACACATTAAGGTGGGCTGAAAATATGGTAAAGAAAATAAATTGCAAATCTATAATTGGAAGTGGATGCAATAATTGCTCCGTAGTAGCATTAGTGAAAACAAAAAAGTAGAGGTCATAAAATTGTTGGTATTGGGGTGCCACAACACTCTTGAAATATCACCAGTTTTATGCAATTTTGTAATTGTAATCTCTGGCGTTGAAGTTTAAACTTGGAACTCAAAATTGTTGCAGTGCTTCTGATGCGTTCTCCCTCCTTGCAGCAAATATCCGTCTGCACCTAGCTCTCTGATGTGGTTTCTTTCATTAGCTAGCATTGCCAACAAGATGTTCTCTAAATGGCAGAAGTAACCGTTTTTGGCAATTACGGGATCAACGATCACTTTGAGTTCCGGTTTTATGTATCTGGAAAACTGTATTAGTCTCAACATATGTCGCAATCCTTCCGTGCACGCCGAGCTAAATTTAATGAGGAACTATAGCGGTGCATTCACAGTCATGACATACATGACAAGTTCCACAAGATTCTCGGAAGGAATAGCTGTCGCTACATATAACCGAAGCAGCCTGTTAGCGGTAGTCATCCATTTTGAATGAACCACCGGCTCGGGCTTTTACAACGCAAGATCTTCAAGACATTGCCCAGTCTCTACTGCTTTACACATGTTAAACAAATATTTTTGATCCGTGCTCAAGTCAGCACAATCCGTAGGAGGACAGTTGTCAACTTGAAGGTGTCATGTGGCCTAGGTACTCTGAATTTGGCTCGCGAACTAAACACATATGTTCTTTTACAATAAACCGTCCATGGTTTTTGTTACCTTTTCTAGTTTTCACCCAGGTCTTATCTTTGCGGCTATCAAAAAAGAGTCCATTCAGTTTTTGCTAGAATACCTGAGCTTGTAATCGCTTTATGACTTTTCACCGTTCTCTGCCAGGTTTATTCTTATCTATTACCATTGATGTGTCCCCTTTGTGTATAAGAATCACATCTTGCAATGTTGCACTGACAATAGCTGCTGTACAACGACCTGGAACTTTATATCTGTCGCACATCATAGCTACATTTGGTAGTTCTAGTCGTATTTGTTTTTTGCGCTGCTTGTTATCAATTTATTTTCGTTACGAATGAGTGACAATAGAGAAAGCATAGAATATTTACAACAGTCTGTTGCATTACCTAACTATCTGACTCTGTTTTACTGCCCTAAATTATATTTATGGTTATTTTTGGTAGTACTTCATTGGAAGCTTTACCATTTGACAGTCATAAAATTGGGACGCCCTGGGGCACCACAAGATGACTTCCAAAATTCAAAACATTTTGCACAATAACTAACAAAGTCATGAGCAATTATTGCACGCCCTGCCGTTTTGACATTAGAATTTTTGACGTTAAGAATTTGTCTTTTAAAGTTGTGTTTTTATATATCACAGAAAAACACAATCAGAACATATATTATTTATTCCATTAAAGACCAGAGTACATTATCTATTCTGTTAAAAATTAAAAAAATTTCAAAAGTGGACGGCTCAATTAAGAGTCGTTAATAATTCTTTTAAAACATACTACTTTTGAGTTATTAATTTTTGTTGCACATGTTAGACGGCGTTTGTTGTCAAATAATTTTTGAGTAATCACATTTTTTTTGTACTTTAAAATATTTATATCTTTTCTTAAAAATAATTTATACTTCTATTTTTTATAATAATATGTTCCACTGGTTTAGTGTGATGTTGATTTTACACATCATTCTACACGAGTGTGATGTTGATTCTACACATCACACTGGTGTAGAGTCAACATCACACTGATGTAGAGTCAATATCATTATCACCGTATCTTACCACTATTGTAAGATGTTTTCAATAATAAAATAAAATGTTGTTAAGAGAGGGCAAATAAATGAAGTTTAGAGAGGGCAATAAAACAAAAGACGCAACATAGCATTTCTCATTTCTAATATGCAACAGATAAAATTTTATTATATTTTTAACTGTTTAGGAGGAATGCTTTCTTTTGTTCAAGATCAATGTTTTCTTTCAAGACATATGTTATCCCCGAGACTATTTATTTTTAAACTAAAAAATAACGGTTTGTGATTATCAAATGATTTAAAATGTCAAATGATTTGACAATAATAATAATAATAATAATAATAATAATAATAATAATAATAATAATAATAATAATAATAATAATGTATCAATGTTAAAACAGAGATAATGCATCCCTGCATAACCTATCACTAAGTTATTGCAGTAGTTGCTATAAACATTGTAATACAATCAAAGCCCTTGCTTACGTAGGACAAAAACAAAACACCAAACAAACGTTTAATTGTGAACGTCGCAGGCTACAACACCATTGTGAACGAAGATGTCAGTAATCATATCAGGACGATAAAATAACCTTAAATGAGTTTATCGACAATGCATTAGTATCTTCAGTTTTTAAGGTGTTCCACAATTTCGCAGCTCCGTTTGTAAAAAAATTTTAATCTCGCTGGATAATTTGTTATTTGTTCAATAAATAATTTATGACCTTGCTTATGTGTATTCTACATGAACACAAAATTTATATTTTATCAATAGCTGGAAACGTAAAACTTGACTATTGAACTTTCTTATACCTATAAACAATTTTATAAATTTGGATTAAGTCTCCACGCTGTCGTCTTAAATCCAAACTGGTTAAATTCAAATATTTAATGCGTTCTTCATATGATAAAACTTTTAATTCTTAAGGGATTTTTGTTGCTTTGCATTGAATTCTTTCCAGCCTTTCTATATCTTCTGTCAGATAGGGACACCATATTACACTTACATATTCTAAATGTGGCTGCATATATGATCAGGGTTCCCACTATTAAAATGAAGCTAAAATTAAAGATTTTAAGGAGATTTAAGGAGATATTTTCCTAATAATTAAGGAGATTTGGTCGCGAACGGCATTTTTTTGAAAGAAAAAGTAAGGATAATTAAGGAGAAAACGATTACATTAAAAACATAATATAATTTTTGTCAATAAATTTTAAATATAAACAGAGAAATTATTATTTTATTTATATATATAAATTTTAATATATATATAATAACAAAAATAGGTTTGAAAACTATCAAAAATCTATAAATTATCTTCTTTATTAACAAGTATAATCCATTCACTTTAAAAAATTTTTTCTAGATAAATAAAAAAAAAGGAGAAATTAAGGAGAGCAATCAAATTTTAACTTTTTTTAAGGTTATTTAAGGACATTTAAGGAGGTTTTTATTTTTTAAGGATATTAAAGGTTTTTAAGGAGATGTGGGAACTCTGATGATTCAAACAAAATTCCTTCGTACGTTTATTATGATAAATGTTCGTTTTATCAGACCAATTATTGCATTTGTTTTACTACATGCGTGTTGACCAATTATTGCTTTGTTTTACTACATGCGTGTAGATCGGATTTGAAATGGAAAACGCAAGTGTTAACACTTGCGTTTTCCATTTCAAATCCGATCTTATGTGATTTATAAATCTCTTTCTTCATTTGATGATTTTAAGACTAGTTGAGTGCCATCTACTTTATTTTTGCTATAATTATACATTCTGCTTACCAATAAATGCATAAATATACATTTGTTGACGTTTAAGTTAATTAACCAGTCTTTACATCACTTTAAAATGTTATTAAAATCGACTTGTAATGATAAACATTGTGTAAAATTATTTACTTAAGATATTATCTTTAGAATCATCAGCATAAAATTTTAATATTTACAATACAAAAGTAAAGTTCTCGACTTAATGTTCACCTTATAAAAGTATTCGACTGTTCAGCTTATAAAAGTACTCGACTGTTCAACTTATAAAAGTAAATTTGAAAACATAAAGCAGAATAAGAAAAGTTTTTATCAACTTTTAATGCAAAACTGTTTGCAGACAATTTAATTTATATTATTATTTTTTTTATTTTTATTTATTATTTTATTATTATTAATACTATTTATATTTATATTATAATATTTATCAGTTATCATCACGTAAATCGTTGATACAGTAATTTAAAAATTTAATAATAAATAAAATCTAAGAGTAAGAGCGTTACGTCATACTGAATTTTAAATGCGTCATAATTTTAAATACGTCATACTGAATTTTAAATGCGTTTGAAGTTATAAAAATTATGAATTGTGAAAAAATTATGAAGTATTAAAAATAAAAGCTGCATAAAACAATTGAAAAGTTACCAAGTAACGTTTCCAAATCAAAATAAATATGTGCAAAGAAAATAAGAAAATACAACGTTTCGTTGAAAACAATATTTTTTTTAAGAAATCACATCCACGATTTTATAATTAGTATTGAACCGTAAGTATAAAATAAAAAAATAAAATATATCAAATATCAAAAGCATTAAAAAAAAAATAAATAAAATGTTTAAAAAATAAAACTTCAAAATACAAAAATACTTTGAACGAAAATGTTCTAAAATTTTTTGAATGTAGAGTATAACATCAGAAAAAGTCTTCCTTTTTTAAAAACAGATTAAAAAAAAAATTAAGAAAATTTCGACATTCTGCAAATTGAAAGACATTCTGCAAATTAGAATACTTGACGCAAACGCAAAATATTATAATTGCAAACTAAACATTTTATCGATTGATTTAATTGAAAAGAGATTTGTGAACTTTCTATTTTGTGACCTCAAAAAAAGTTTTAACAAAATATATAAAGAAACGTTTTTATAACCATTTAAAACGATATGAAATAATCAATTGTATGTTACAAATAACATGAACAATATAACTTTATCATAAACATAAACATTAAACATGGTATGTAAATTACGAAATATTCAAATCATATGAACAACTATAAAATATAAAACCATATGAACTAATCACATTTGATATAAAAGAAATTATAAAACATAAAAACACAAAAATATACCATGAAGACGGATTTAACGCAGAAACCACTTTTTACATTAAAAATTTCACCTCAAAGTTGTAAAATGTTTGCAAGACTCGCATCGTCTTACATTTGTTTTAAGTTAGCAACAAAAATATTATATGCTTATAACGCATATCCATATATGTATAACGCTTATGAAGCATGTATAATGCTTATAAAGCATGTATAACGCTTTTAAAGCGTCAAAACGCTTATAACGTATTTAAAAATAAAACGACCCTTCTATATCATGCTATGAAGTCGAAGTTTTTAAGAAAGTCAAATACCACTTTATAACAAAATTCGTATTGTTCAAGTGATTCAACCATATATGTCCTTTGGTGGCGAAGAGATTTAACAATCTGATATATATCTACTTTATCTTCATTGCGTAAACTTTCCAACGCAATACTAAGAGTTATGAACACTCCAGTTCTACCAGCGCCAAGACTTAAAGATTATTTTAAGTTCAATAATTATTTTTTATCAAGTCAAAAACAAAAACTAAGTATTCCTTCAATAAATTAAAAACATAAATTGAAAACATAAATCAAAACACAAACTAAAAACATAAATTAAAAACATAATAACTGATCTTTTGAATGTTATTATAAATCTATGAATAGAAAAAATTAAAAAAATACCTGCTGTGCACCACAATAGGCGACAAAGGACTGAATTTATCACTAGCTTTTTGCACGTGGCCGATAAACTCTATAAAACTTTCAGATGAGTCTGGTACTCGACCAATAGGCCAGTTTAAATAGTGATACTGACGTATATTTCGAATGACATCATTCTAACAAAAATAAACTTTTAATTTTGAAAGAAACTTGAACTCTAACAGTTAAAAAAAATCTTTTGAAATAAAAAAATGAACAAAATAACAAATGAACAAAAACAGAATAACAAATGAACAAAAAGCAGAATAAAAACTGTTATGAACAAAGAAAACCAAAACTCTCTAATAATCAAACTTTGAGCTAGAAATAAAACCTTTATTTAGGTCTAAAACATCAAACCTTGATATCAGAGACTTTAAACTCTCTAATAATAAAATTTGCAAATCTATTTTCGTTGATTGGATCAATAACATACAAATGATGATTCATTGATTTTGAATTAGGCCAATACTGGTAACATTGCTCCTAAATATAAAATCATTTTTTCAAAATAAAATATTACAACTAAACATAACAAAAAGTTTCAAGTTATACGAAAAAATTCAATTAAAACTTATATAAATTTAAATAACGTTAAAAATGCTTACATGTCCATCTTTGTCATCAAGATTTGTCACCATAACAACGATCGTACAATTTATATCCATAATCATGCGCCAAAAATCAGCAGCAGTCTTTTCACTAGGCCCTTGTGTAGCTATAAACTGGCTAGGGCGATAATATCCATCAATGTAAGATGCATTAATATAATCGCTACCTTCATGACTTCTTAATGGCTGAAGTTGTACACGATTGGAATCAAATGGAACAATAACTTTTGATCGATTTTTATGATCGTTAGCATAAGCAGCTGTCATTGCAGAAGAGTCATATTCATCAACAGTTGATAAACTTTTGAATTGGGTTTCAAGAAGAGTCTCCCTGCCATTGTTTAACAAAGCAGTTAATTGTTTAAATTCTGCTGAAAATTCTCGAGATGTCAACTCGGTCACTCCACATTCAATAGCTTCAACAAGAACGTCATACACAAACATGTATTGCTCATCAGTTTGAACCATAAAGTTTCTTTGTGAACGCATCATGTTTACGTAACCATAAATGTCAATCATGTTATCATACTTTATACGTTCTAGCATTGCATCAATAGCAATATAACAAGCACTACGACCAACACCTGCACTACAATGAACAACAGTTGGACCACAACCAGGAGGTTCAAAAGAATGAACTCGTCTAACAAATGCAAGGACTGGACCAGGGCAGGAGGGCACTCCAGGATCTGGCCACTGTAAATATTGATAATGTTTAACAGTCCGAACTTCGCCATTGACTGTGGAAGAAATTTCAAAAGTTCGTATACAATCATTGCATAATTTGAGTTCTGACTTGAATTCTACTCTAATACTTCCATATATTTCTGAGCCATGATCAGGCCAATACTGTTCACACTTTGACTGAATAAAGAAAAAGTTCATTATTTAAAAAAAATAATTTAAAATTAGTTTATATTATTAAAAACTTAAATATTTAAAATTATTTTAAAAAATTAAGCAAATGGTCGAATTTTTAGGTTTATGTATTTATATTTTAAATTTTGTTTTCCTCCATGTTTGTGAAATGAAATCTATTTAAAAAAAAAAAAAAAATCTTCCATATAAACAATCTTTTTAAAAAATTTTTTTTAAATATTTTTTTTTTTTTTTAAATAGTAGTATTAAATTTATTTTAGATCATTTGAAAAAATCATTTAAAAAACTTTTAGATCATTTGAAAAAGATCATTAAAAAATTGCAATCAGTTGCAAAAAGCATAGATCATTAAAAAATTTTTAGATTATTGGAAAAAATTTCTTTTTTTTTATTTTTTCCCTTTAATTATTAATTTTTTTTTTCTAAATACCCCCAGAACGCAGATTTTTTATATAAAATACCCCCAGAAAATTGTTTTTTTTATATAAATACCCCCAGAACATTAATTTGAATAAAAAACTTAACTGTGATAAAGAATAAAATGCTAAAAAATCCTGTAAATAAAAATATACTCAGTAACAGATTATTGAAAATACTTTGTAATTATTCGAGTTTGTACTTTAGACATTGCATTAAAGTTTACTGTCATATATGTAAACAATTTTCAAAATATTTAAAATATTATTATATAGTATTTCAGTGTCTTATTGTTATTTTTAAACATCTTTTCTCATTTATAAGACTCTTTTTGACGTCTGACTAAATTAATTAAATAATTAGATAATAAATTTAATTATTTTCATATTTAAATAATAAATTTAATTATTTAGATATTGAGATAATAAATCTAATTATTAAACTATTTAGATAATTAGATAATAACTTCAACTATTTAGATATTTAGAGAGATAATATCTTTAACTATTTAGATATTTAGAGAGATAATAACTTTAACTATTTAGAACTTAGGATTACATTACTAAATAAAGAGGATTTTGGAATATAACCATTAATACAAAAGTTTTTTAAATATAACAATAAGTCTTTGCTTACTCTTCCCCTTTCTTCAAGTTTTGTAACCATAACAATAACTTGAACATTTTGTTCCCAACAAAGAAGCCAAAAATCATTGATTGTGTTTTTCATTGGACCTTGTGTAGCAATGTATGCTTTTTGTTTGCAATATCCATCAATGTAATTTGCATTTATATAATCTGAAGAATTATGGGACGGGCATTCTAATTTAACACGAGTTTCATCATCTAAAAAATTTTAATTTCTGAAAATTATACCATAAGAAGTTCCAACAGCTTTTATAAATACATGCAACAATAGGCATGTGTGCACATTTTTTTAAAACCAACCACATCTAATTATTTCTCATTCTAATGTTAGAGCCTATGCAAAGCACCTAAAGACAAGCATTTACGTTTACAAACACAGAGAAAATACATAAAACCCAATATCTAGATTTGTGACATAATTTTATTTGTGACATCATTTAGAAAATAATTCTTTTGGAACAAATGATTGAAAATGACAGCTTTTTTTACTTTTCAAAATTTAAAATTAATTTTAACCAAAATTAAGTGGAAGCACGAGTAACAGGTCTTTGTATTGACGATGATAGTGAAAGCTGCAATTACTGGTTGGGGAGAACTGGACTTCAGTTTTTAAAACCGCTTTTTGTCAACATTTATAATTTTCATTTATTTCATTAAACAGAGAGAAGACATTAGTAAAGAGCAATGGCAACTTTGAAACTTCATTTCAATATATTTTGGTTTAAATTATCATTATTGCTAATTTGGTTGTTTATGAAATTAGTATTAAATGCTTTGAATTTTTTAGTATTTTAAACAAGAAATTGAGACTTTTCTTTAGGGACTTTGAGGGGGCATAGAGTACTTATTATTATTCTGAAAAAAATATTTTTTTATTGTACTTTAACATTAGATAACAAAATTAGGTATTGTTGGTTTTTAAAAAAATTTTCAACTGCCTAAGCAACAACATTTGGAGATTACAAAAGATTTTTATATACAACATTAATACATACATGCAACAACATTTGGATATCGATTCTTTGAAAGATTTATGTTTAACCTAGCAACTTCTGAAGAATATTTTTCTGAAGATTGGATGGACTAATAAAAATTATTACTTTAGTTAAATTCAAGTCATTTAAAAAAAAAAAAAATTATCATTTGAGTTAAATTCAAGTCATCTTAAAAAATAAAACAAAATCATAAAAATCTTACTTCAAATTCTTGAATAAATTTTATTCCATTATCAAGTTTTAAATTTTTTACGTGCTTTGATAAAGTTTCTATATTTATCGGTGGATGGCTAATCATACCAGGTGTATTGCAATGCAAACGATGAACCTAAAGATTAGTTTCAAAAAAATTTTTTATGCTGCATTTATGTAAAATTGTACGGCTCAGAAGAGCACAAAAAAATATTTTTGTTCAAAAAATTAATTTATATAAAGATTTAAAATATGATTTAAAAATAAATAACTAATTAATAAAGTAATTAACAATTAATAAATAATTTATTTTTAAAGCTTTATCTGAAAGACTAATACAACTATTTTTTTTAAAAAATAACAATAGGTAAAAAATAATTTTTAATGTACATAAAAAATTAAAACACTAGGTTTTTGGCCCAAATCAAAACTTCAACCTGAGTTTGAAATTTATTTTAATTGGTAGGACCTTTATGCTTCTTTACATACATAGTCAAATAAAAGCTTAATAAAAAAAATTTAACTTTTGTGGTAAGTTTAAACTCTGTAGTTACTTTTAGAAAGCAAGTGCACTACTACTACACAATTACACCATTACCACTACACAATTACACCACAACCACTACCACAACACAATTAAACCACTACCACTACATAATTACACCACTACCAATACACAATTACACCACAACTGCTATACAATTACACCATTACCATATTTTACCATGATATCATAAACATATACTTATTTACATTTAATGGTTTCACTTTCACTTTCAAATTTTATTCTAGCAAATACAATAAAATAGTAGCAGCTGATAATTTTGAACTTGTTAAATATTATCGATATTGCTCAATTTATTATATATTATAAAAAAAAGTTTGTGAAATATAAATATTTAAATGTTAGGATTGAATATTTAGTACTTCATAGTTGCTTCATTGTTGCTTTATAGTTTTTCATTATTTAAATAAAATTTTATTAGCTTTTGCTGATAAGATTTTCCAGTCCAAAGAATAAAATTGTTGACAAAAATTGTTGCACAAGATGCATTGCGACAATCCTGTTCAGAAAAGTAGAACAACAAATTTATCAAACGGAGTAATACAGAGAAAAAAGAATTCTCATTTACGTTATATAAAAGAAAATACAGAAAATATTTTGTTTTTACGCTCATTTAATATTTAGTTTTGAATTTTTAATGACTTCAAATATGCAAATTGACATACTAGTCACAAGATTTTGGATAATTCTATAGATATTTCATTCCACGCTTCTCTGATTCAAGTTTTCAGCTCCAAGGTGGATTCAAATTGCTTATCATTTTCATAAACCTTTCTAGAAAGTTTTCCTTAAAGGTTTTCAATTGGGTTAAGATCTGGAGTACATGGGGGCCATTCCATTATGTGAATACTTTTTTCTCTAAACCAAGCTTTCGTAAGCTTTGAATTACGGATAGCAGTATTATCTTGTTGAAAAGTGAAATTTTCACCCATCAATTCCTCACCATGTTTAAGCAAACTTATTTCTAATAAGTCAATGTAGTCCTGTGAACTCATTTTTGTTAAAATCTATGCCAGTGGAAGTTTTTCAGCAAAGGAAAAAGCCCCCCAAACCATAACAGTTTCACCACCACAGTTACAACTCATCCAAGTTTCTTTCTCTTTTCAAAGATCGTGCCAGTAATATTAATAGCCATTAGGACCATCTAGATTGAACTTTTTTTCATCACTAAAGAGAACTTGATGTCACTCTTCCTGCCAAGACATGTATTCTTTTGCAAATTGTAATCTAACTTTTTTAATGACGAGCAGTAAGTTTTGGTTTTGGTTTACGCTTTTTTTAAAAAAGTTTCAATGAATGTTGTTAATGTTCTTTTGTTTTATTTTATATTAATTTTTTTTTTGTTTTATTTTATATTCGTTTTATATTATACATTTATTACATTTATACATTTATTAATGAAGCATATATTATACATTTATTAATGAAGCATTATAAGTTGGAAAGATTGCATACCTTAAATTCTCATTAGTGTAGAGTTGCCAAACATCTGAGTGCACCGGGACATGCCCAGTTTTAAAGCTCTGTGTCTCAGTGTCCTGCCAAAGAACCATTTGTCCCAGTCTATTTAAATTTCACAATTAGATAAGCCTGTATGTTTGTATGCTTTGATTACTGCTAAACCTTTATTTGTTAAACGTTTACCACATTCCATGTCAAATTCAGGTATCAAAAACCAAATGTTAAAAACTTAATGAGCACTGATTTCAGTCTTTGTTTAACTTACAAATAATAATAATAAAAATCAAAATATACAAGTAAACTGAAAATAATTGTTGATGAGGCCAATTCTATTTGTTACCGCAATTATCAAGTATTACACATTTTATGGTATTTTCAAATGTACCCCAAATTAATTTTGCTATATTATCATCTAAAAAGTTATTGTTTGTAACAATTATATGTGTGCGGATACAAAAGATGCACCGCACAAACTTGCTTACAGATTTACAAAATATTGGATCAGTACATGGTGAAGCTAACTCTATTTTCTCCACTGTATACTTATTAATATATTCTTTTTAAACTTAATGTTGATTGTTGTTCTACTTTTCTGAACAGGATTGTTGCAATGAATCTTGTACAACAATCTTTGTCAACAATTATGAAAAATTGTTGACAAAAAAAGCAACAATGAAGCAACTATGAAGTAACTATGAAGTAACAATAAAGCAACAATTAAGCAATAACTGTAATAATTGTTATTGTCACCATTGCTTTAATTCTTATAAACTTCAAAACTTTTTCAATAATTTTCTTGATAATTTCGAAAAAAAAAAAATTAAAAAAACTAATTAGATAATAAAAATTAAATATTTCTTGAGATTTCAAATTACCTCAGTAAGATCACATGATCAAATTATTACCTCAGTAGGATCAGCAAGGTTTTTGGGGTTTCTGAAAGAACGCTTTGATTTCTTTTTTAAAAGTTTAGAATCTTCTCCAGAATATATAGGCCTGTGATTTCTTACAGAGCATTAAATAAAAAATGGTTTTTATCAATGTAATATCCAAAATAAATTTAAATTCGAAAAAGATCATGAAGTCAAAAAAATCAAGTCAAAAAATTACCTTTTCCATAAAAGAACCAAAAAGCCAACTGCTAGTAAAAGAAACAAGCCACCAGCTGATGCTGCTCCAATTATGATAAAACTAGAGCTATTTTTATCTTCAGGTAACTTACTTCTACTGACATCTGTTGTTGGACCTATTTTTTTAAACAAGTGAAATGAAAGTTAAACAAAAAAAAATTGAAAAGAAAAAATTAAAAAGAAAAAAAAATTTAATGGATTCAAATTATTGCAACAATTATAACTAATCAAATTTATTAAAATATTGACTACTAAAGAACTGTTAAAATAGTTTAACTAGTTAAAATACTAAAATACTCAACCAAGCCTTGGCTTAACTTACCAAATCTTATAGGTTTGCTTAATTCTGAATCTGTATGGAAAATATCTGTTGAGATCTAAATTTATCTGAACTTAATTAATTGTTAAATAAAAAATATCACTGACACAATATTACTAATGTACTACACAATTAATATGATTACTATATGACAAACATATATCTATATGTATATGTATATGTATGTATATATATATATATATATATATATATATATATATATATATATATATACATATATATATATATATATATATATATATATATATACATATATATATATATATATATATACATATATATACATATACATATATATATATATATACATATATATATATATATATATATATATATATATATATATATATATATATATATATATATATATATATATATATATACATATATATATATACATATACATATATATATATATACATATATATATATATATATATATATATATATATATATATATATATATATATATATATATATATATACATATATATATATATATATATACATATATATATATATATATACATATATATACATATACATATATATATATATATACATATATATATATATATATATATATATATATATATATATATATATATATATATATATATATATATATATATATATATATATATATATATATATATATACATATATATATATACATATACATATATATATATATACATATATATATATATATATATATATATATATATATATATATATATATATATATATATATATATATATATATATATATATATATATATATATATATATATATATATATATATATACATATATATAGTAATGCATATCATGGTAGGTCTCAAAAGAAGTGAAATTTTATAAAATAATAATTTTTTTTAAATAAAAAATAGCATTAAAAAAAAAATGTTGACTTCTTCAAAAAAGTTATATAAAAATTTTAAAACTATGGATTTAACTCTATTTTTATCAAATTGCAGGTATGAAGAACTTTTATTAAAACAAATTAAAATTTTTTACTCATTAATTTTTTTTTATATTTTATTTTTTTGTGACAATTTTAAAAATTTAGGTGTGCAAGTTTATTTTTAAAATGTTACAAAATTTAAAAAATGCTAGTCTAACAAAAAACATAATGAGCTGCCCCTAAAAAAAAAAATTAGGAAGTAATTTTTAAAACTTGCTTTTATATTATATAAAATAAGTATAATGGGTTATCTATCCAAAATTTTGTTTTAAGAGTATCATTAATGTATAAAATATTATCTAAACAATTGTATAATGCTATATAATTATATATGCTGAAAATGATACCTTGACATAAGCACGCAAAAATGTTGAGTAATAATGGCCACCTATAAGTTTTCTATTGTCGTTTGAGCCATCACCAAGTTTAAAAAGTTTCGGAAGCTCATCGTCAGTAAACATTGCAGCAACATAAAAGTCTGGTTTAATAGAACTTTCTGTGTTGTTATTTATATGACGTCGAGAGCGATGATCTTTAGCACTAGCAAAGTTTGTTGACTTTATTGATGATGAAAGTACAGAAGAATTTTTAACATCAATAACAAAAAGCTCATAATGACTAAAATAAATAATTGTGCTTTGTTAACACTTTCTAATATTTATGTAATATTTATAATATTAATAAATACATAAATATTTATAATATTAATAATATTAACTTTAATTCTAATAATAATTTTTTTTTTTTTAACAATGTAACTTTTTTTATTTAAATGAAAAAGAATAAAAAAAATAAAAACAAAAAAACTTACTCAATTAAACCATGTATATTAGATGCGGGATAAATTTGCAATGGAATAATATTAGAATCTTGCACACTTGTATTTAAATAAGGGACAGGAACATCAGTCGGAGCTAAACAAAGATATCTTGAATAAAATCAATAAAGCTAAAAGAAAATTAAAGATTTATTAACTAAAAGGAATCAATTTCACAATTTGTCACTTAGGGTGCCAAGTAGTACCTATGTTTGAGTAAAGTTATACCAATAAAAGCATTGTTAACACCTAAAAGCCATTATCATTGCCCAATTCAAGATCAAACGCTTCTCCAATATACACAGTCTAAGAAATAGTTTTTGGGAACAGATGTATCAAAATTTACTTTTTACAAAAATCACCAGACCAACAAACTCTCTGTGATACTAGTTAAATTTGACTGTTATTGTTTAATTTAAATGGCCACACTTTCTTAAGTTAGATTAGACTAGCAATTTATGTAAGGGTCCAAATATATATGTAGCAAATATATATTTGGACCCTTCTAGAAAGACAGCATAACAACAGTTGCTAACCAAATACAGTTGTCTCAGGTGTATTAGTTAGAATAAAAAAAAAAATAGCAAAACAATAGCTGAAGCGTTTTTAAATCGATATCATTGAAATCTACTTAGAACTTATTGACACATAAAACTCAGAAGCAGTAGTTAAAAGGTGTCAAGAATGGCAGTCCATGTATGTCAAAAATGGCTGCTGAATGGATTACTGTCTATGACAAGTCAATATATAACTATTATAGAATTTTGAAGATAAAAAAATGTGATTTAAAAATAAGTAATGATAAATACTAAATATATTTCTTTTTTATGTTTATATTATAATTGTTTAAAAGTTATGAATATAACTTTACATAAGTTTACATAAATTTTTAAAGTTTACAACCCCCTAATTTCAGGTAGGCTAGAAATCTTTCAGATGAAACTTTAATAGATTATTAAACAAAAGCTAAAGTCCGTTGATAAATTTAACAATAGCAAAAAAAAAAAAAACTTTCTTATTTGACTTATTTGAAGTATGAGTATACTCAAGTTTTGAATTTGCACAATACCTAAAAGTAAAAAGGGACACATATGGGCGCATTTGCACCTTTGGCTTTCCTTTCTGCGTCTATTAACTGGTTTAAACACAAAAATGAAAATACTATTTTAAATTACTATTTCACATTTGAGGCTTAATACAATTTAAATAAACAACAATTTAAATAAACAACAATTAAAACAAAAAATCGCCATTAACCCTCAAAAATTAGCAAGGTATATACAGCAGCGCTCGAAATAATTATTCGAAGGTTGTCGATCAACATGATCGGCTGAAATAAAAAAAAATTAAAAACCAGACGATCAAATAATTTTTTAGGCAATCAATTTTTTATTAAATTTTACTAAAATTTACAATGGATTTTTTTTATCTTACCTCACATGATTTTTGTTTTGCCGTTTATATTTTATAACTTTTAATTAATTATAATTTTAATTATTCTCTTTAGAATTTGAGTAAATCGTTTGTTTTGCTCTTTTGAATTTATTTATTTTATTTAGAATATAGGTATACCGTTGCTTTTGCCATTTTTCTTTTTGTATTATTTTGAGTATATATGAAACATTGCTGTTTTTATTTTAATTATTTCATTTAGAGTTTATATATATCGTCTGTTTTGCCGTATTTCTTTTTAATTGTTTTAATTTGAATATAAATAATACATTACCGTTTTTGTTTTAATCATTTTTTTGAAATTCAAGTTAACATTAGTTTTGCTTTATTTATTTTAGTTATTTTATTAAGAATTTAAGCAAATGTTTGTTTAAATTTTATTTAGAATTAAAAAAAAAACAAACAATCTTTTGCTGTTTTTATTTTAGTTATTTTATTTAGAATTGAAATAAATAATGTCGTTTTTATTTCAATTAGTTTATTTATAAAATTTATAGATAGTTATAATGTCTTTTTAATTTTCAATTAGTTTATAATGTTTTTGTATTAATTATTACAAAAGTTTGACTAGCAGCTTCTGCTGATCAAATTTGATTGGCCAGATTTAATTTTAGGCTATCAAAATGTCAATTTTTCCAAAAGTAGACAATCTTTGATCATTGATCGGCCGCTATTTCGAGCACTGATACAGTAAAAAAAAAAAAAAATCACAATACCTTTACATACTGTTGTAAAATTTGTGGTCACAGGATCACCAGTGCCTGCTTCCTCAGTTTCTACTTTGACAAAAACTTCATATGTTGTACAAGGAAGCAATTCACTAAGTTGTAGCTGTTTTGCAAAGATTGTTATTGTTTTATTGTACCTAAAACTGTCCACAATTCCATTTGAGGTCCGATATAATTTTTGTGCTGTATAAATGATCTGAAAATTTTTTAAAGTGATGAAAAAAATGTTGAAGATATTTTATAGCATAGAAGTTTAAAATCTCAATCCTATTTGTAATTAAGTGAAAATAATGCATTAGGTAAAAATAACACATTAGTTAGATAAATGAAATAAAACATTAGGAAGATAACAATTTTATATATTTTGTTTAAAAATGTTTCCAAAACTTACAATGAATTTAAGATTAGATTTGAATTTCATTGTGTTTACAGGATCACTCCAGTGAATGTAAGCAGATGTTGTTTCCACTTCTAACACGCGCAGCTTACTTACAATTGGAAGAACTTAAAAAAATAATTATAATTTTATATTTCTACAGAAAATAAAGTAAAATAGCAATTTAGTTGAGGTCAAAATAAGGAGTTGAGGTCAAAATAACGAGTTGAGGTCATAAAAACAAGTTAATGAAAAATAATAACAACTTTATTTTTTTTTCTGCAAACTAATCTTGGGTGAAAATATCTTACATTTCATAAAAAAGTTTTATTAAAATTCGAGCTGTGTCATTTATGCTGTGTCACTCAAGTTGTATTTGGGGCCTTAAAAACATTGGCTTAAAAAGCATAACAAATGTTACGCTTTTTAAGACTTTAATAAATAGGTAAACAATGCGTTAATACTGCACCTAATGATAAAACATAAGTGAAAGTGAAAGTGAATAACTACATATTATGTATCATGCAATAAAATATATTAGTAAAAAATATTTACATCAATTATCTCTCCAGTCTTGTTAGTACTATTATTACTTGTCCCATGATGATAGGAATTACTGAGTTCAATTTAAATGTAGAAGATTTAAATATAACCAACATTAACTTACAAGGATTTAACATTGATTATTGTCCTACAGAGTCAAATAGCGCTTTATCTACATTCTAACCTTAATAACATAGTTCTTCTTTATCTACATTCTAACCTTAATAACATAGTTCACAGTGACCTTTTAATTTATTTTTATATTATAATCTATTAGAAGTAAAAATAGGAATGATTTGTAAAATTATTCCAAATCCTGGAATTATTAAAATATAAACTTCAGAATGACTAAAAAATCAAAATAAATGTTGATATAAAACAGGATCTCCTCCAGCTGGGTTCAAAATAGAAGTATTAAAACTTCTATCAGTTAATAACATCGTTATTACTCCTGCTAATACGGGTAAAGAAAGAAGTAATAAAAATGCTGTTATTAATACAGATCACACAAATAAATCTTTATCAAATGTTAATTGCAGTAGTGGTAGAGCACTCGCTTTATAAGCTAGAAGATCCAAATTTAATCCCCACTAGGTCTCTTGTATTACCACTCTTAACTTGTTTCTCCACACAGCGGCCTTGTTTCTCAAGGTTTGTGCTTCAGAGTTTTTGCAGGCCTTTAATTTTTTCAATGTTTTTTTAAATTCAATTTAATAAATAAATTTGAAAATTTTATTAGGTTAAGGCCTCTATTTGCATATTCCAAAACTATCAAAATATAAATCATTTGTTGGTAGGTTTTAGAGAAAAATCACCTGTAAAACTTTAATTTAAGTAAAAAATTTGCCCCCCTCTGACCCACCTTTAGATTCTAGCGAGGTGATCAAATAGTAATATATAACTTGTTTGATTGTTTGACTTTCTATGTTGTTTTTTTTAATTGAGGGGGTTAAGGCAATAAAGAAATACAGTGGCTTAATCTAAAGTTTTGGATTTGGGAGTATTTTTTCTAGAAAGGAAATATTACAGAAACTTTTATTACAAAAATGCTACACTAAACAAAAACTATAAAGTATATATATATATATATATATATATATATATATATATATATATATATATATATATATATATATATATAGTTTAGATAACCCTGCTCTCCATTTACCCTAACCTTAACATCTACATTCTTGGATGTAAAAGATCTATGTGGTAAAACTGTTGTAACTAACTCATCAAATTATTCTTACAATAAAAAAAACAATTACTGATTTGATTTTTTATTATCAACTTTCAATAATAATCAAATTATTATAGTATATTGCTCTTAAAATTGCATTTTATTGGTATTAAAATCTCTCGTTAAATTGAAACTACATGTGTATATATATATATATATATATATATATATATATATATATATATATATATATATATATATATATATATATATATATATATATATATATATATATATATATAAATATATGTATACATTAGGGTTATTCAAAAAAAGTTCATATCAAAATTTTGATAAGAGCCCTAGCTTATTATCTGCCCTGACCCCAAATTAGTAATTAAAGTTTTTTACAAAATTTTTTTTGAGCATTGGAAAGGTCCCCACAGAGGGTAAATGTCAATTTTTGCACCTTTTTTTAGGAAAACTTTTCCCTGCTTGAAAAAATCACCAATCCCATTGTTACACTTACAGATAATAAACAACTAAAATGGCTGACGAAAGAATAACATTTTAGTACCGAAATATTATTATTTATAAAACTTTTCTTCTAAGGAAAATTATTATTTCAGTACCGAAATAATGTTATTTATAAAACTTCTAAGCAAGTTTTCTCAAATGATTTTAAGTTTTCTCAACAATGATTTTAATTTTTACATTTAAGGAATGTGCAAGTTAGAAGTTAAAAAAACTGTTATTTTATCATTGTAGCCGCTGTTAATATAATTAGCCATATAATTAGCATTACAATACAATAACATATAATAGCCTAAATGTTAATAATATATAAGCCTAAATCTTTGGCTTTTAAAGCAATGTCCTATAGACATCCAAACTTTTGTATGTTCATGCTTATGTCAAATGAGAACACAACTAATTGCTAATCAAAAACTTCAGAATATTTTAATAAAATATTTTGCACCATTTTTGGTAATAATATTTTAATAAAATATTTTGCACCATTTTTGGTGATAATATTTTAATAAATAATATTTTATCTTTGCAATTACAGAAAATAAACAACTAAAATGACTGACAGAAAATTATTATTTCAGTACTGAAATTATTCATAAAACTGTTATTCTACGCAGGTTTTCTCAAAAGCTTCCAACAAGTAGACAACTTTCATATTCAAAAAAAATTTCATGGGATACAACATAAGGTCTTAGGTAACCTTCAGAGTACCTGTGCCTTGCTCATGGTTTTTATCAAGCAATGCTATTATAAACAATTAATAAAACCACTTTGGCATCACAATGAAAAAAATTAACTCTGAAACTATACATAAACAAACAAAAATTGATGAATGTAAAATAAACAAAAAAAAGTAACTTAAATTTATCTGAACATGAAAAATAACTTAAGTTTATAGAAAATGTTTTAACTATTTTTTAAAAGCATTTTCTTTTGAACTCTTTTTAAGTTAAATAAAGTCAAAAATAATTTAACAATTTGTTTTTTTGAATCAGAATTAATTAAAAGAAAAGAATAAAATATTACACAATGACTTAATGACTTTTTAACATTTTAACATATAAACTCCACATATTAAAACCATATCAAAAGAAAAATTAAATATAAAGGTAAATAAACATATTAATATCAATAATAAAAATATTAGTAATCAATAAATAAAAGATTTGACTTAACAAAAATGGCTTTAAATGTAGATAAAATTGCCATTTTGTGCATAAAATGCATACAACATAACACTTTTTAACAAGACCTACATATTAACATGATTCATTAACAAGGTCTTTAATGTGTACATTAAATGTTACAATAAGAAGACCTACACAATTAAATGATTAAAAATCTCAACATTAAACAGTAATAATAAAGGGAAAAGTACAATTGAAAAAAAAAAAAAAAAAAATTAGTAATAGTTTATTACTATTCATAAAAACTATTTTAAAGCTAGGACGTCAAAAATAGTAAATTTTTAAATTTGTTTAAATATTCTCAACTCTGAGACAAAGTATTTAATTCTTCAAATTAATAAATCACTAATTATGATGATGGTAAAGAAAACACTTTTAGTTTTTTAGTTGTTAACACTTTATAAAAATTTAAAAAAATTAACCTTCTTGGCTGGTCATCACTTGAATTTCTTCTGAAAATGGTCCATTACCTACTTGGGTAAAAGCTTGCACTCTGATTTTGTAACTGAAAATATTTCAATAATCAAAAGTAAATCAAAAGAAACTTGTAATCAAAAATAACTTCAAAACTATAACTATGCTTATAAATAGTTAGGAATTTTTTTACATTTTAACAGAGGGACTACTGTATAAATTTAGCAGCCCACTTCCCCCTCTAGATTCTAAAAAGATTTACATTTAAACAGCCTCCTTAGTAGCTCCTTACCAACCTCCTTAGTAGCTCCTATGCATTTACTAAACTTTAAAATTATAATAGATCAACATTAACTATTTAAATATTGTTTTGATCATCAGCAACTAATTTTAAAATGATCAAATTTTCAGATATCTTTTTTTAAAAAAAATTTTTATTAATAAGTTTTCATTTGAATTTTTTAATTTTTTGAACTTTTTTCCATGAAACTATTCATTTAAGTTCAAGATTAAGATGTGCTTAGAACATTTTTTCTATTTGACTATGTAGTCTCTTATCTCTATTAAGATACTAAACTTTTATAAAAGCAAAAAATTACCGGGTACTTGCTGTGAGATCTGTCAACAAAAAAGTCTCAACATCATTTTCAGAGGTTTGGTACCTAATATTTCTCCAACGACGCTCATCAAAACTTTTATAGTCAATATAGTAGCCAATAATAATGCCGTTGCGTTTCCATGGGTCTGGTTTTTCCCACTGCAACTTTATTGATGAGGATGATTCAGTTATTCCTTCAAAATATAAAGGAGGACTTGATGGGACACCATCAGAAGTTCTTTCCCAGACAATTGATGTTGCAGTCCAACCATCATGCTTGCCCAAATCACCAGATACCATAAAACAATACCAAACACCAGAATCCAAGTCATCAAATAAAGACTTTCGTATATCAGATGCAACCAATTTACCCTTCTTATGTGACAGCATATCATACTTGCGTAAACTTTTTCCATATTCTATCTTATAGTATTCAACAAAATTAGTAGCTGGTCTCCAAATTAAAGTGACTTTATTTGTTGTATAATCTATTTCAGATTGTACACTAGGAGCAGATGGAAGATTTGGAGGAGTTTTCAAATAAATATTAGCACTTTTGAACCCATCTCCAAGAGCTGTAAAAGCAGCAACATTTATACGATAGTCTTGGTCAGCAGATATAGATTCATGTAATACAGCATCCTGCCAAAAAAAATCATTCTATATGAATATATTTCAAGTCAATTGACCATAAAATTTATTATTAAAACCTAAATTTAAATACATACAATAATTGCAGCAAGATATTCAATTTAATCTTAATTTAATCATTTTGTTTGATCAATTTATTGTTAAGAGCTTTTTCTTTTTCTCTTTTTTAGCAGTTTTAAATTGATTATAATTGGTTTTATGTTATTGATTTTTTATTATTGATTTGAACGCATTATCTACCTTTATATTTTCATATTAATTGACAACTTTAATTTATTTTTTTTGAGGCTAAAAAGAAAGTTACATTTTTGTTGCAAGAAGTTTTTCAATTTGCAGTTTTCATAAAATTTTTTTTTGTTTAAATCATATTCATAGATTTTGGCTCATTAAATTAAAGCAGATTAAGTTTCAAAATTACAAAAGTTATTTAAAGATTTTAATTAAATTGTAATTAAATTGTAATAATTGTTATAATTTTTATTGCATGAAATTTGAAATTGGTTGATGAATATAAACTTAGATAAAAATATTAAAGAAATTATTTCATAAACTTGTTGCTCCCACACTAAGGACTGGGTGGGCCCAAAAATTGGGGTTTTCTTGTCCCCAAGCTCCAATCACCACAACTCTTTGCAAAACATTCTCATTTGACATAAGCATGAACATAAAAAAATTTGGAGTTTGCACAATGCCTGAAAGTGTCAAAACTCAAGCATCTAAAAATCCAGTGTACACCACTGATATATATATACACACACACATTTACTATAAAAACAATGGGTTAAAAAAGGTTTTTGAGTCATTTAGATATTCAATAAACTGTAAAAAATGGTTTTATGGAATCTAATGTTTAAATCTTATCAATAAATATACTAACAAAAACACGAAAATAAATATGACTTACATGAAAATATAGTACATATTTAAAGGTACTGGTGAACTTATTCCTACAGAGATCTAGTATATCAATCTAATCTGTTATTACATTACAATAAAACTATTAAAAATAGTATTATTGTATGTAATACTGTCATAATAGTATTATTACTATGTAATATTACATTAATCACTAATACATTAAAATTATTGTAAATATAATCTTTTGGGAGGTAGTCATTTATGTCTAGTACATAGCTTAAAAAGAGGATTGGGCCAAGGACGCTTACTTGTTTTCTCCTGATAAAACATCTTTACATTCAGCAGGCTTGCTGTTGAATTTAACAGGTTGTTTACGGTTTGAAAGCAACTTTGCAATCCAGGATGATAACCATGATGAAATGTTGATTTCAAGTTTGTGCATAAGGTCAATGAGGTCAAATGCTTTTGAAAAATCAAAGAATATAGCAGTTAATGAGGTATTGCGGTCAATAGCGTATGCCCAGTCATCAATTACTTGTATGATGGCATCAATTGTATTTCTACCAGGAAAGAAAACCAAATTGGCTATTAGATAATAATTTATCTAGAAAATAGGACATAATGTGTTTTGCAAGGATGCATTCAACTATTTTGCAAGTTGCAGATGTTATAGAGATCAGTTGGTAGTCAGATGGTAGAGAAGGGTTATTGACTTTTGAAATATTAATACTATGATTTTTTTTAAGGGGTAAAAAAAAGAAATATAAAAATTTACATAAATGTTAGCTAATAACGGTTTAATCACAGAAAACTTTTAAATAATATAGTCTGCAATATCAGAAACATTTATAAAAATAAGTTGTTGAATAAACTTTTTTGTATGCATCATAAATAAAAAGTTTGCAGCAGTAAGTTTATAAATTGCCAGTTTACTATAGTTTCATGATTTTTTAGCTGAAGCAAATTAACCCTGAGTAATTTTAAACTACAGAGTGTTACTCAATTTTAGTTTATCATTTTTTTAAAGTAATAAGCTAACCAGAACAATATTGATAGTATAAACAAAAGAATTAGTTATACAAATAAGTTAATATGTGGCTGGTTTGCATTACTTTAGAACTTGTTATATTAGACATGTGGTATCACACTGTAAGTAAAAGTATCTTGTAAAACATGTGCCATATGGTATCACACTGTAAGTAAAAGTATCTTGTAAGACATGTGCCATATGGTATCACACTGTAAGTAAAAGTATCTTGTAAGACATGTGCCATATGGTATCACACTGCAAGTAAAAGTATCTTGTAAGACATGTGCCATGTGGTATCACACTGTAAGTAAAAGTATCTTGTAAAATTAAAAAATTTGGTACTTGAAATGTGTATTTATTCTTGTTTTGATTTATGATTATTTCAACCATAAAGAAAAAGTTTAATAAATTAATTTTAAAAAAAGCTTTGAGGACTTTCTGCACTAATTTTTTTTCTGAAAGGTGTTGATTCACGTGGAAATTATGTAACCTTTTAGGCATAAGATAAGGAAATTTGTGTTTCATATTTTTTATAATTTATTTTTTATTAAAAATATAATTTCCTTGTTGTATTAAAATTTCAGAAGTTAATAGAATAACAAAATTTCAGAAGTTAATAGAATAACAACATTTCTATCAGAAATTTATTTATAAAGATTACCAAAAAAAGTTTTTTTTAATTCTTATCAGAAAAATTATATATTTTTTTAAATTTTGGATTACATAAGTTATTTAAGTTTCAAATCTTTAAGAGGTTGACATCAAAAGTGTTATAAATTTATTTATTTATTGGAATAGTATTTTATTATTTGATGCACAAGTGTATTAACTAGTAATGTACCGATTAATCGGTATCGGCATCGGTATCGGCTTAATCGGCCATTTTTTGCACAATCGGAATCGGTATCGGCCTTTTTTTACCGATTTTCCAACCGATGACATTTTAATATTTTTATCCTGCATTATTATAATAATTAAATAATAAATAAACTAAACTTTGTGCATTACTTGGATAAATTTTTATTTTGACTTTGTTTGCAAGCAAAAGCTCTAAAAGTAACCTGTTTAAGCATTGTTATCTATATATTTTTAATTATTTTTTACTCCCAATAAGGCTTCGAACAACCACTATCAAAATGGGAGTTGCTAGAAAAAAAGTGTAGTGTTATAGAGCAATGAAGCGATGAAGAAGACTTACAAAGTTGAAGGTTGTATGAGTCAGGAAAACATGTAGATGGGACAATAAAAGACAAATAAAAGTTTTTGGAGCATGAAGAGAGAGATACAGTCAAAGAATGAGACTTTGATGAATGACAAGTCAAGTGAGAATGAGTTTTGATGGAACTAAAGATAAAAGCTCCTTTGAGCAGCAACCATGATAGTATTTGTAGAAAAGAAAAAGACTTGCAACTTTACAATAATGGAAAAGAGGCTCAAACTTTGCAGATAGACCAGGTCCAACTCTGTTTACAATGCGTTTTTAAACCTTATCTTGAAGAAAAAGAGCATCATTAGAAGAACCAGCTCAAATATGATAACAGTATTCCATACAGTGACAAATAAGAGATTTTTAGAGGTAGGGAATGGAATCAGGAGAAAGAAAATGATGAGCAGGATAAAAAGAAGCAACCTTAGTAGATGCTAATTTAGCAATCGATTGTATATATTGTTTCCTTGAAAAGTCAATAGTAAATGATAATTCAAGAAGACGTAAAGAAGTAGAATCAGTGAGAGGGTGGCCATTCATCAATAGACAGTACTACGATAGTTATTTGTCTGACAGCAAGTTGTTTGACTCGAGATGGAATGTGAGAAATTTGTTTATCAAAGACTCAAAGACCTTGCTAATAACAGAAAGAAGACTGATTGGACAAAAATCGGAGGGGTTCTATAAGTTAACCTAAGTGTTTAAAAATTAGAACAACAGATGCCATTTTCGAGCAGGCAGGAAAACAAGATTCAGTCAAGCACTTATTAAATAGTTTAGAGAAAATTGAAGAGAATTCTGGAGAACAATTTTGTTACACTGTGACAGGAATGTTGTCTGGACCACAAGCCATAGAAGAGTTATAGACTATGACTATGAGCAATGGAAGATATGACTATGAGCAATCGAAGCTGAAATGATTTGAATGTGTAACAATGGGTTAACTTGTTTAATTAGAATGGAAGGAAGAGAATGGCCATAAGATTCGAGAATCGGATTAGAAAAGAATTTCTTTGCAAATAGTTCAGCCTTATTTTATGTATTTAAGTATAATCAAGTACCAAGTTTATTTCTAAATTTTTAATTTTTTAATTTCAATTCACCTCCCTAAGGCCACAAAGACCACTTCAATTGAGAAGAATACTTTAGTTATGGTTACAACCCTCTTTCAACTTTATAACTCAGAAACACAAACCTTGATGAACAATGCTTCTGTGTGTAGAAACAAGTTAAGCACTGTACTACCAGGGACGTGGTGGGGATCCAACATCACAAATTAAAATAATTCTAAAAACAATTTATTTATCTAAAAATAACTTATGTCTAAACAGCACACGATTGTTGTTTAGATATCTAAATTGCTAATAAATTGATAAAGAATTTAAAGAAGGTAAACTGCATATGCATATTTTCTTTTTTTAAAATTAAAATCAAAAGCGTTCCTCTATAATTGTATTTAAGTTTTCTTTTCAAAGTAGAAAAAAAAAAAAAAAAATGTATATTTTTTTAACTGAGTTTTTCTAATATCTTATAAAATAATTGTTTGACTTTGATTTGAGTCCAATTATTTGTTTAACAGTACCAATTTAAAGTTTTATGGTTTTATATTTTCCTATTTTTAATATATATATTAATGATCTACCAAAAGCTTTTAACCTAATCACAATTGTGTTTGCTGATGATTCTAACCTATTTCTTTCTCATAATAACATTATTACACTTTTTAGCAATACGAACATTGAACTAGTCCAAATGGTTTAGATTAAACAAACTCTCACAAAATATTGTGAGAGTTTGAATATAATAAATTTTGATAAAACTAAATGGATTCTTTTTCATCCTTATGATAAAAAGCACCAGCTGCCTAGCAACTTGCCTTTTCTATTTATCGATATCATAGTTACTAATAGAGTTTTAGTGACAAGATTTTTAGGTGTATATATCGATGAAAATCTTACATGAAATGCCACATTGCTAACTTGTGCAGTAAAATTTCAAAGAGTATAGGCATACTATACAAAATAAGAAACGTTCTTGATAAAAATACTTTAATTAAATTATATTATTCGTTAATTCATTGCCATATCAACTATGCAAACATTGCTTGGGGTAGCACTTATAAAAGTAAACTTCTTTTTATAAAAGTAAAACCTCTCTATCGGCAACAGAAGCATGTAGCACGCCTTATAAATTTTAAGGACCGTTTTGCTCACGCCAAGCCTCTTTTATATGATATGAAAGTACTCAATATATATGAGTTGAATGTTTTTAATATTCTTTGTTTTATGTATAAATGCAAGACCCACCTATCACCCATTTCTTTTCGTAACTTGTGTTTACAAAAAAATAAAAATAAATATATTCTAAGGAACGATAACTTAATTCGACAACCATTTTCTCAAACTAATTTTGGAAAATTTTTTATTTCGTTTCGCTGACCATTTCTATGGAAAAGTATAGTTCTAAATACTTCTAAAGATTTTTCTCAAGAATGTAATTTTGATTCTTTAAAACAAAATCTTAAAAAACTCATTTTTTTAACTGAAAATATACTTATGTACTTTTAAATTTTTGAAAATCCCTTATCTATATTAGTATATGTATATTTTAATGTACATTCTTTTTTATTTATTTATTTTTTATCAACAAGCAATTATTTAACATGTTTTATTTTAATGAATTATTTAACATGTTTTAGTTTTTACGTTTTAGAACTTTTATATTGTAATATTGTATGTTTATTTATAATATTATATTACAAACTTTATATACTTTTATTATTAAATTTAATTTTTTAATAAAAAGAAATTGAACAAAAATAAATAAATATAAAGAATGAAAACATTGAAAAAAAAAAATTTTAAATTAAAAAAAAAAAAAAACGTTCAATAGCCGTTTCTCTGTGACAAGACCTGATGGTCTTCTTTGAGTATTCGCGTTCTTTATAATTATTTTTATTCTTTATTACTTAACGATATCTTGACTTGTTAACTTTTCTTTTTTCTTTTTTATATTATTTGTATCTGTATCATAAATATTGTAATAAAGAACAAAAAAAGAAAAAAAAATACATATTTTCAAATTTTTAATAATTAGTAAATTCATCGGTATCAGTATCGGTATCGGCCTTTTCCCATCCATCGGCATCGGCCTAAAAAGTGATATCGGTACATCACTAGTATTAACCCAGCCCAGCCCATTGTATTTGTACTTTTATTTAGTTTATTCAGTAAATTGTACTTTTTTTCAGAGTGTATATATATACAGAGTTATCTTTCAGAGTGTATATACATACAGAGCTATCTTTAAAGGGATCCCTAACTGTCAAGACAAGTTGTGTTCATATTAAAGAAAATGTTTAAAAAAACACTTGGGCTAAATTATTTTGATTGAAACTAAAATGATGAATACATACCAAAAAAATTAAAGTTATCGTTTTAGTCGAAGCTTGCCTTCTCCATTTTTTTTAGTTCTCGGGGTCTGTATAATGTTAGCTGCATTTTGCAAACTTGATAATTTATTCCATGCGTGTTAATTCATAACAGTTTTGGAATATGATGTTATCACAATATCTTTTTAAGATAGCGTTTTTTTGTTGTTGTTTTTTTAAAGATTTAAGTATTTTTTCTACTACAATCAGAAAATCAAATATTTGTATAATTTTTTACTAAATCACAAAAAATATTTGTGATTTAGTAAAAAATTATACAAATATATATATATATATATATATATATATATATATATATATATATATATATATATATATATATATATATATATATATATATTTAAACAATAAAAAAAAAATCTTTTCTACAAAATAGAGTGCTCAATGTTCTTAAAAGAACAGAGCAATAATAAATTAGTAGAAAATCACTTAAAATCGTCAACAAAGACTCATCAGAAATGAATGATCAAATTAATAAAACTTCAATTTATACCAAAAAATTAAATTACAAATTTAATTTTTTGGTATAAATTGAAAGTTGCAAATGTTTTAACTACTGTAAATTTTCACACATTTGTGGAATTTCCTGACACTATTATAAAAAGAATTCTTTAGAAATGATTACTTATGCTTTTTTTATGCGTTTTTTTGAAATATTGTTGTATGCAGGCGCTGTTTTAAGGATGGACCAATTCAGTATAAAATCATCAATATTTTTATCTTTTAATTCCCATATATATTTTGACAGCATGGTATCTTTTGAATACTTTTTATTATTAAAAGATTGCTTATGATTGGCAAAACGTTTTTTCCATTCACCCTCTGTTATGCCAATATATTGTTTATCGGGTACATTCTTAGAGGAAACAACACATTTATATACCACATTTTTTGATAAACAACTTCCACTCATTGGACAATTGTTTTTTTGTTTACAATTACAATTTTCTGTAGTTTTTTCATTTAGGATTTCTTTTTTATTTAACAAAGCATTATTGTGACTGTTTATAATTCTTTCCATATTTTTTGTGCAACTGTAGCTAACTTTAATTGTATTTCGATTAAAAATTTTATGTAATTTATTTGAGGGAGGAAAATGCTTATTGACCAATTTTAAAAACACTTTTCCTATGTTAGTGGAAACATTTTTGCTATATGGGGGGTTGATCCAAATTACATTTCTAGTTCTATTCCATTTTTTGTATTCTTTTTTTCAGGGTCAAACTTTAGTTCAAAATTTTCAAAAACTTTTTTTAAGGGCATCTTCAAATATTCGTTTGGAGGAATTAAATACATTTTCATTTCCATAATCTTTTAGTATCTAGTTTTTATTTAGTTTAAAACAGTACATTTTACTGTAAATATTGGTTATATATTAAATTTTTATTTTTATAAATTTTATAAATTTAATTTTTATTGCATCATAAACTTTTTTTGGGGATTTATTAAAAAGTGATACAATTAAAATGATTTGGAGATTGCGGCATTTAATTTAATGGTGTGCATTCATTATATTGTTCTAATCAATAAAATTTAGCCCAAATATTTTTTTTAACATTTTCTTTAATATGAACAAAAATTTGTCTTAGGCAGTTAGGGATCCCTTAAAAAGTGTATATACATACAGAGCTATCTTTAAAAGTGTCTATACATATAGAGCTATCTTTCAGAGTTTATATACCTACAGAGCTATATATACATAAAAAGCTATCTTTCATAGTGTATATATACAGAGCTATCTTTCAGAGTGTATATACATACAGAGCTATCTTTAAGAGTGTATTTACATACAGAGCTTTAAAAAATTGAAAACTTATTCAAAAGTTATTAGTGATTAAAAATAATGAAAAAGCTGTTTGCTTAAAGTCAAAAATTCTCTTGCCTATTTCCTAAGACTATTGCTTCTCTTGATCATAAGAGACTATTGCTTTCTTGACCATAAGAGACTATTGCTTCTCTTGACCATAAGAGACTATTGCTTCTTTTGACCATAAGAGACTATTGCTTCTCTCGAATCTAAGAGACTATTACTTCTCTCGGCATAGAATGACCTATACATTTTTTTTATTATACACATTTTAAATATTATTTAAGGACTTTATTTACCTTCAATGATTCTCCATATAACTTTATATAATACTCTTCGCCAAATTCTGCTGTGTCTTTATGTTTTCTATAATATATCTTGTACCCAAAAATGCGACCATTTTGCAAACTTAAAAGTGGAGGAAGCCATGTTACTGCAATAAAAGTATCATTCAACGCTTGAGCTTGCACTGACTGAGGTGCGCCTTCAGGAACTAAATAATAAAATTATTTTCTAAAGCAAAATTAGTAAAAGCTTTAAAGCTATTAAAGATTTTGAACTTTGAAAGACAAATATATTTCTTCTTCAAGTTTTTTATTCATTATTTGAAATTTATTAATAAATATTTAAATATAAAATTTTGTTATAATAAGAACTCTAAAACACCTTTTAAAAAACTAAAAATTAGAAAACCTTTTTCTTTGGTATAAAGCTCAAATATTGGACTTGGAGGACTATCCCCTTTCTCGTTAAAAGCAACAACCCACACAGAATATTGAGTAAACTTGCTAAGTCCTTGTATGTAAATGCTGCGTGCATTTCCCCCAGCAGTCAAAAACAAAGGTTTCCTACCGATCTTGCGAGTAAAGTATACTTTATAACCAGTAATGTTTCCATTTTGATGATCAAGTTCTGGCTCTTCCCAAAAAACCTCAATAGATTCAGCACGTGTTGCAAACCCTCGTACATACTGAGGAGGAGCAGTTGGAGCTAGAAAAAATTTTTGGATTTTATATTAAAATTAAAATATGTTGATAAAAAAATAAAAGACACAAACTTTCAAGTTTGTTATTTCTATTTTTCCGTCAAAAAGTGCACAACTGTTCAAAAAGTGCGCAACTGTTCAAAAAGTGCACAGTGGTTGATTGAGATGTCAAATACTAGAAAATTTTTTATTGTGAACAGTTATAGAATTTTTGATGAAGCAAAACAACTTTAGGTAACTTTTAACTTATTTTTGATAAATATTTTATGAAATTTATGTAATTTAAACCATATTTAAGACATTTCTTGCAGAATTTGTTTTTACAGTAAGTAAAAAAAGTGAGTTAAACCGTATAATGTTAAAACATAATAAACCATAAACACAGTCTAAATTTTAAGTTAGATATGAAAATCTCAATACAATTTCATTTAAAATAAATTATTTCCTTAGAGTGGAAGAATCTGTTTTATAATAAAAAAAAAACCCTGTTTTACAATAAAAAAACAGTCTTTTAAAATAGATTAACCAGAAAACATTAAACTGTAATTAATTGTTTTAAAAAAACGTTTGTGGAATATTTTTTTTTTAGATAAAAAAACAGATAGATATCCTCTTTTCTACTTTCCGCTTTCAAGAAAAAAAAAAAATTATAATTTATTTTATTAAATTTGAATTAATTTTATTATTATTCATAGTTTTAGTAATTTATTTGATTAAATTTAATTAAAATTCTTTAAAAATTTAAAAATGCTCGATTTTAAAATTTTTTTTACTGATAAAATTTCCAAAACTTATGTTAAAGTAAAAAAAAAATTTAATCAATTTAATTCAAGTAACTTTAAAATGTTCGCATTATATATAACTTCATTTTAATTTCAGTTAAGGTCCAGGTAAGTTTCAGTTCCAAATATGGTCAATGTTACAGGTAAGTTTCAGTTCCAAATAATGGTCTAAATAATGCGCTTTTGTAGTTAACAAATGACATCATACCAAAAAGTTCTTTCAAACTTGAGTTTAAATATTGTTTGGGTTTTCCTTTTGCCGTTAAGTTTTATATATAAGATACGTAAATTTTAAAATTATACTGATATTTGTTAAAAATAACTTCTGCTAATAACATCTTATAACCAAAAATACTATTTTTTTTTTTTTGGATTCAGTAAGAAATAGTAAAAATACTTTAGGTTTCACATTACATAAAAATAAAATATTTTAATGGAAATAAATAAAAAAATAAAGCCGAAAAGCAGTAATCTTTAATTACAATTTTTAATTTTTTAATTTTTTAATTTAATCAAAAGCCAGATAAAGCAAAAGGTTTTTTAAGAAAGGAGAAAACCCAATCTTACTGTGTAGAAGTACACTTAAATCCCTTAAAGAAAATCAACCATAAAAAAGTATTCACTCATTTAAAAAAAATAACAGTTAAAATAATGTTTTAAAGAAAAAAAATTAAGTTTAAAATTTAAACTGTAAATAAGTATAGGATTTTAAAACAAGAAAATTATTTTTTAATCAACATTTAAATTTAATTTATAACTTTTTTTTATAACAATTTTGTTTAATTTAAAGACATTTTATTTAAAAGACTTTTTTGAATTGAATTACAATGAGGTATTTTAAAATACGCAACTGACGCAATTAAACTTTTAACGATGCAAATATCTTTTATAATAAAGTTACATTAATTCAGGTTGCGCTTTTACATTACGCATAAAAATCTTATAACAAGGCCTGTAATAATATTCATAAATTCGAAACAGAATCTTATGATAAACTACACAAAAAGAACAAAAATATTTTAAATATTATATATTTCCAATAACAAAAGGTGTCAATTGAATAGTCCAAACCAGAACTGAAAATTTATCATAAAAACATCAATGAAAAAGTGAGAAACATAGCATTTGTAAACCAGTGGCACAATACAAACGACATGATAAAATGATTCACTAATATTCTTGACAATTAAAATTGTAATTTATTCAATTTGATATGAACATGTGTTATCTATTAAACTCTTAAAAGTACTTCAATAATCATATTTTGACACTAAGCTTTATACAATATACTAAGCAATACCAACAGACTATATAGGTAGAACATGCAAGGGAGTGTAAGTACATCAACTAAAGGTTTTGCTGGGGGATCAAATTGTTTTTTTTATTATTCTTTGTTTAGTTCTTCATTTTCTTAACATTTTCCAAATATATATATATATATATATATATATATATATATATATATATATATATATATATATATATATATATATATATATATATATATATACATATACAGTTTATATATATATATATATATATATATATATATATATATATATATATATATATATATATATATATGAGTGTAAATTAGCCCTGTGGGGCCCCCTCAAACGCAGTATTCCCCAATGCTTATAAAATTAAAATTCCCAATTTATAGGTGAAAAAATCCTATTCTCCAAATAAAGTTTGCCAAATTAAAGTTTAGTAGTAATTCTAATAATTATTAAAAATTAATTATTGAAAATCTAATAATTATTGAAAATTCCCATTATTGGTATAACTACACGATTGCATAACTACGAAAATGTCTCTGAGAAAAAACTTCTTGAGAATTAGGCTGTTTTAGGATTTTTCTTAGTAACTTGCTTTTAAAATTTATTTCTCAAGTTATTCGAAATGCAATCAAACAACAGCAAATATTATGTAAAAAAGTTAGCAAGAAATATAGTATAATCTAAAAAAATAACAAACTTATTTGGTTTAACACCCGCAAATGCTATTTCTTTACAAGTTTTGCCCTTTTTGCCTAAAAAATTAAATAACTTTTTAGGTCTTACTTACTTATTACTTAAATATTAGGTCTTACTTACTAATTACTTAAATATTAGGTCTTACTTACTTATTACTTAAATAATAGGTCTTAATTACTTATTACTTAAATATTAGGTCTTACTTACTTATTACTTAAATATTAGGTCTTACTGCAAACTCTACTTAGATTAGATTTCTTAACTTAATGGCTTGCTTTTATTTAAAACGTAAATTTCATATTTTTTTTTTCTAAATCCTGCTATTTATATATTTGCTTTGTAATGATTTATCTTTTTTTTTTGCAGAAAAACATTTTGGACATTTCATACTACTTTGAAATTCCTGTACGTTTTTTATCTCTCATCTTTTAGCGCTTTGTAAATTTGAATACCTGTTGCTTTTTAACATTCAGCTTAGAATGCACTTCTACACACCCTCTCCTTTTTGGTCTACTATGCTATTGGTGAAGTATACATAAACAATTTTTAATAATAAATGTTAGCTTCAATTTTGTGCTTTTATATCGGACATCTGTCCAACAACTTTAAATACTTTTTAGCTATCTCTTACTCTAATATATCTTTTCCCATCTTCCCTGAGGCTCATACAGCTGTAGTAGTACATACAGTTATAAGTATGTTATAGTTGTACAGTTGCAAATGATAAATGTTAATGCAACAAGTATATGCATTGCAAAAAAAAATCTTCTGAAATACTAAATTTAATAAAAACTTAAAAAGGAAAAATAATAACAGTACATAAATTATTAAAATTATTAATTTTTTAAATTTTGGAACCACTTCCATCATTAGATGGAAGTGGTTTCAATAGCATAGTGGAACCACTTCTATCTAAAACATAGTGGAACCACTTCCATCTAATGCATGGTAGAACCATGAATTGAAAACTATTAAAATTAACCATAATTGAAAATTATTTAAATTTTTTAAATTTTAGAACCACTTTTATCTAATGCAAGGTGGAACCACTTCCATCTAATCCATGGAGGAATCATAATTGAAAAGTCAGCAGTAGAAAGAGAAGATTGAAATATATCGATTGTCAGAGATTGAGGTTGAAAGAGATATTGTCAGAAAGTTGTTTGATTCAAAATGAGAAATTCACAGCCAGAGTGATTTTGATGTCTAACAATGGATTAAAATGTTTTTATGTGATGACTAGAAGTGTGTGGTCACACTAGGATCAAAAGATGAGTTAAAGAAATGTAAATTGAATTAGAAATAATATAGAAATACTATAGGATACAATAGTGAGAAAAAAGATAAGTAACTGAAAAGAAATTTGGTAAAGAGCCACTAAACATAAGTACATTAAAAAATATCCAGTAAATTATACCTATGACAAATAGATGAATTGGTAATAAGTATATGCTCTGGTCAAGCATATTACTGTTTGAGGTGGGGTGGACATTGAGCTATTTAGGAGTTGTAGAATGGTGGTGGCAGTTTTTGTGGTTATTTATTAAAAGGTTAAAACAGCAATCTAACAAAAGATGGAAGTTTTCTGAAAGTGATGATTTATGCAGAGAATTTGAGGAGAATAATTACTAAACTTTGACTGATAAATGAAATTTTTATTTGCATTTCATATTTATGGACATTAAGAATATTAAATTACTATAATTTACTAAATTACAACAGACAATTATAAATTTAAGACAACTATAATTTACTAAATTACAAAATTTTAATTGAGAATTATATCAAAAAATGTAGAAATATTTTTATGATACAAAAGATAAAGGTTATTTTGCTTTCAGTTTTGATTTAGGGTTTGGGTTGAAATATTTAATTTTTTTTATCTAAATTTGATAGAATCCTTTTTTGTTCAGCTAATTTAGGTGCCTCTTATGTCTAAAAGGAATTTCTCCCCATATGAGAAACTTTACCAAAACATAAACAGAAAAACCTGCATATGCGTTCTGTGTTACGCTTTAGGGAACGCCCATAAAGTACATATGCTCAGATGGGCAAGAAAGGGTCTGCAAATGGCATATATGAGATAGGGGAAAATGGTCAATTATAAAAGTAAGGAGACACTAAATTTAAAAAGTCATAAAAATGTTGGGTAACTATGTTAAAAGTGTAGGTACATTTAGGGAAGTGGAGGATACTTAAAAAAGCGTATAGTAAAATCCAGACGGGGAGGGGGGAGGGTTGAAACAAACGTACATACCCATAGGTGTACATACTTTATGAATAACCCCTTATCGAAAGGTTGAAACTTTGGGTAGTAGTAACAGTATCGAAAACAGCCATATTGAATAAGCTCAAAAAGGGATTATTTGGAATAATGGCAAAATAAAACCAAAATTATGAAAAAAATAAAATTGTATCTAAAATACGAAAAGCAGAATAAGGTTAAAATAGCTCCAAAAAAAAAAAAAAAATCAAAAAGGGACTTTTTGGATTAATATTGAAATAGAGAATAAACTAAAATTGTGAATTTTAATTGATAGACTGCTTGCAAAAACCAAACCCTTAGTCAATGTAGCTGCACTCCTTGCATGTTCTACCTACATGTCAGTCGATACTACCTACGTGTCAGTAGCAACACTCACTACATGTTTTACCTCTTTGCTATTTTTTCGATACCATTCCACAACCACAATACATTCCTAAATCCAAATTTTGATATTATTCCATATAGGCATTTTTGGCATTATTCCTTCTAAACAAATTTCTATTCTTTATTTTTTTTTGAATTACTTCCTTAAAATTATTTTCTGATATTATTCCAAAACAAATGTTTTGATCAAAAAAAAAATTTTCTATACTATTCTGCTTTTCCGAAATTTTATATTTTTGAAAGAATATAGAGGAAATTAAACAGATGGACAAGTGATGAGCCTTTAAAATATTAAAAAAGAAGCAATTATGTTATCAGAGATCAGGAATAGTAAGTTTATATGATAAAGCCTGTCAGGGAACATTAATACAATTTGAACATAATTGAATAATTGAATCTCAGCATGCAAAGACTAGTAACTAAGTACCCATAACTAAGTATCCGCAGTAAGTAAAGCAGAAATTAATGCATTACAAATATAAAAACTTTAGTTAAAAAAAGAAGAAATTGTATATTAGATAAATAATAATAAGAGAAATGTGCAGCCTGCGCAAACGCAGAAACAAGGACACTAGAACAACGATAAACAGCAGTGTTTACCTAGAGAAATGCAGAATCTTGAATTAAGACATCCAATGTTCTAATTTTCCTAATATTTAATACTATACACAAAACAATTAAAATACAAAAAAGCTTTAAAAAGTATTTTTAAATAAAAAAATATTATATATAAATATTTCAACCTATAAAATTAGCTCATTTTTTTTAATTTATATTAATTAGAAACTTTCAAGTTTGACTTGATCAGGTTCTTCAGAGGGTTCGGCATGATCAAGTATATACTTATCAATTTTAATAATATTTAATTAATAAATTCTCAATGTACAACTTTTTGATTTTATAAAACAAAACTTACAATCTGTCAAAGTTTTTGCTGAAGCAGTTTTTGATGGAACACCTAGAGAAGTGGAACTCTCAGGAATAACTCTGAACTCATATTCTTGATTTGGTTTAAGATCTTTTACATCCACCCAGTTATCTGTTACCACTTGTGACTTGAGAATCTGCCATTCATTCAAACTATTTTTTTTTCTCCACTCTATATTGTAAGCAATAATACCACTTCCAACATCATCTGTTGAATTCCAATACAGTCGAACATGTCTTGAACCGAAAGCTATCACTGATAAATTAGTGACAAAACCTGGGGCTAAAGTATAAATACAAAGTATAGACTTTTTCCACAATAAAATTAAAACTTAGCATAGACTTTTTACGCAATAAAATTAAAACTTAGGTGAGAAAGATAAAAATGCATTATAATAATTCATAAATTGATTACCTCCAATAGCTACTCTAAATACTTTTTCCTGAGAGATTGGGCCTAAACCATCAAGACCAACAATCTGCACTTTCCAATGAACAATAGGAGAACCAAAGTGAAATTCATCATTACCTTCCCAGTCATATTTATAATACTTTTGGTAATCATAAACCTTATATGTTAACCAGCGTATGGTAGGCTCAAATCTTAAAGAAACTTCATAGTGTGATATTTTGCCATTCAATCTTTCAGGGTCTTCCCAACTTAAAGTAAAAGATTTCTTAGAAAGAGCTACATTCTTTAAATTCTGCACTGGTAGATCAAGAGCTAAAGAAAATATTTTGTTAATGAAAAATAGTTTCATTAAAAAAAAAAGAGAATAGATCACATACAAAACCAGCAATGAAATGAGAAAACAAGGTATAAAATTGAAATAAGAAATGAGAAAACAAGTTATAAAATTGAAATAAGAAAACAAGGTATAAAATTGAAATAAGAAATGAGAAAGGTATAAAATTAAAACCAAAAGTAATTTTGATTTTTTAACTCACGCGCCATCTTTGTATAAAATTCGCTCCATTTTGATGGATTCCCTAAACCATACAAATTACCAAGTCTGACACGCATATATAATTGTGTCCAAGGTAATAATTCTTTTATTGTATGCTTCCAAGGTGCTTTGCCATCAATATTAACTTTTATTAAATTTAAGCCAGACACATACTGTTTTTCTAACCCAGTGTATGGCTTTGTTTCTAACACTGCATAAGTGATTGGGATTTTAGAATGGTAATCATTCTCTGCTGGGTTAGGGTAAATTACAAATGAAAATGAAGTTTGCGTCATTTCATCTGGAACAGATTTTACTTCATATGGTCGAAATGGAGTTGCTAAACCATAAATAATAAAACAAAAAATTAAATTAAATATAATACAATAATGTTAGCGTTAAAAAATTTTATTTAAATAATTATATAGTTATTTTTGCAAATTTTTACTAATTTATTGCTAATTTATTGCTAAAAAAAACTTTTATTTCAATACGTTTGACATCAAAATATGCAGTTGCTGCGTCAACACCCTCATAGTTTTCAGCAAAACATGTCACAGAGCCACTTTCCATAACATAAAGTTGCAATTTTCCATCATCAACTTTTTGCTTTATATATCCCTTCGGACCTTTCCAGCTAAATTTCGGAGCAGGTTGACCTGAAAGAAAAAAAGTTTGACTTAAAAACTAGAATTTAATTGAAATAAAAAAGAAAGTTAACCAAAAAAGATAACTTCAAATTTTTTCAAAAAAATCTAACCTGTGGCTTGACAATCAAAGTCTATAGTTTGCTCAGGGCCATCTACAGAAATATTTGCTGGTTTAACTGTAATGATTGGGGCACTTCCTGGAGGAGGTGCATTGGCTAGTATATTCAATTAAACAAATAAATTTATTAAGGAAATTGTAATTGAGAAAAATTAGATATTACTTAAAACTTGCACAAAAAAAAAATTACTTGGAGGTAATGTAGGTTGTATTGTAGAAAAAAACATTTCATCCATTTGTTGAATACCCACGGCATTAGCGACATAACAAGATATAGCTGCATTTTTCAGAAAACCCAAATCATACAAGACTAATGTTGTGTTACCATTACTTAACTGATATTTAAATGCATTTGATTGCTTGGATATAGGAATAAGATTTAGAAACCAGCTGATTTCATTAACTCCTTTTCCACTAGCATTACAGTATAAAGTTATGTTTCCACCTACATATATATTTCCGTAAGGTAGTTTTTGAAATTTTGGGCCTTTAGGAAATTCATTTGTCAATAATTGAGCTAAAAACAAATCAAAACTAATATAAATCAAGTAAATAAAAAAATAAAAAAAAAATTTAAAATAAACTTTTTTAGTGTTTGTATTAGTACAAAGGTGCAATTAGAGTTTAGCTTTTACAGGCTTTTAAATTTACTTCAAATTACTTTTTTAAATTTAGTGTTAAAATTAAAGAACTTAGCATGATAAAAAAAAAGAATAATCAAAAAAATTATAAAATTATTTTGAAATAGACTAAAACTCATCATTTGAATTATTCTTCTTGGCAAATTTTTGATGACCTCTTTTAACTCCTATTGGAGAAAAATTCTTTATTGTCTTTGGATCCTTTATCATTCTCTATTTGAGTCAAGGTTTCAATGCTTTTAATGGGGAAAAGTCTTCAAAGTAAGAATTTGGTATCTTTTTATATAACAGCTTTTGATGGCGTGTGAAAAATTTCATGCCCTACAATCTCATAAAGGCAATCTGGATTGGATAGACTCGCTAAACTACTTTCCCGCCTCTCAGCAAAATTTCTTTATAATTGCATCTTTTATTTTGATGCAAAGATATAATTTTTCTCTTTCCAGTTTGTTAATCAAAAACTCAAAGATTTCCTCTACATTTAAAAAGGTAGTACTTTTTATGCAAAGTGCTTCTGCTGTCAATTTGAACAAGAGCATTAAAAAAGTCAAAATGTTCAACTCTTGCTCAGTGCAAATGAGGTTTGGTAAAAGGTAAGCAAGAACAGTTTTAATTTGATGTTTTATTTTGAACTGTTGAATTATAGCCAATAAGCTGTTCCATTTTCTTCGAGGGTCTAAAATAGAAATATTTTTGCTGTTTACTTCTTCTTGGAGCCATTTTTGACTGGAGATTTCTGGAACAACTTGAAAACTTTTTGAAATTTGATGATGACAGATTGGAAATAAATTTTGAACATTGGTAAAAGAATGCTTTTATTGATTTCATCAATCAGTTTTGAATTTTTCTATTGTTAAATAATTTTTCATTTTCATTATCATGTTTATCATTTTAGGGTCATTTTGCTTCCGAAGAATTGTTAGTTTTATTCCAAAATTTTGGTACATTTTTCTTCATACAAGACCACCTGACAATAAATGTGTTTTTTGTTAAAGCGTTAAAACTAAATCTATAAAGAGAGTTTTGAGAGTCTATCAAAGAAGATCTTCTCTGATAGACTCAATTCACCGAGAGTTGCCAGTTTTAAGAGTCTAGCGTGAAAAATAAGAAATTGAAGGCATTTGGTCAATTACACCTGCATGACATTGAATTCACACCTGTATGACACCTGCATGACATAGAATTGACAACTACACCTGCATGACATAGAATTGACAATCAATTGATTCTTTTTTTGATCGTCAAAATTTTAATTTTTTCTTTGTTTAAATTTTTATCTTAATAATTGATCTTAATGAATAAACAAATCACTGAATTATTTAATTCTGGAACATGCTACATAGAATTTGGTTGAGTGAAAACCAAGGCTTTTTGAGATTAACACCAAATTAATCAAATTACTTTATAAATACAAAAATAAACAAATAACGTTTATTTTTGTAATTAATAAGATATGATAAAAAAATTAATAAACTCGCATTTCATTTATAAATAATAATTCTCATTAAAATCAATTTTTAAATGTACAAACACAATAGATAAATTTAGTTTGATTTTAAAACGCACATTATTTAAAAATAAGTCATTGATTGCAATAACTTCGTCATTAATTGCAATAACTTCACAAATGGTTGTAAAAGCTACAAGAAAAATTAATGAAAAAATTGAGTAAAAAAAACACAACAGAAAGTGTCCTTATTTTAACTATCGCTTATAATCAAAGTTTAATTGAGAAAAAATAATAATAATAATGAAAATAAAAAACGATTCCTTACAAAAAAGAAAATATATAAGCACTAAAATAAAACTCAAAAAACTTCAAACAAAAAAAAAATTTCAAGCGAAAAATTACTTTTTATTACATTTTTATTGCGTTTAAAACAAACTTAAAACTTATCTTTTGAAACGTTTTATTAAAGCTAAGCAAAATGCTTTTTCAAATTACTTCTAATGATTTTTTAATAAATAAACAAATTTTATTAAAATTATTAAAATGTGTTATATATATTATTTTTAAAAATAAAAATTTATTTTTTCTAAAAAGTTGTGAAAAAAAAAAATGTTTAAAAAAATATTACAGCCTATTTAAAATAGTAATTTTTAATCATTTCATGCTCTGATTAGTTAGTCAAATTAAAATAAAAAAGTTTTTAAAAATTCTCTTTAAAAATAGAAACAAAAAAATCAAAGCAATTCGATCATTCTATTGCAACGGAAGATTTAATTTAACATATTCATAATTTAAATAACTTAAAAACTTAGCTTTTAAAAGGTTTTTAGAAAGTCATGGAAAATAAGTTTCAAATTTCATTTAAATTTATCAGAAAAAAATGCAAGACTTAATAAAAAAAATTTAAATAACATTATTTGTTAATTTACACAAAATGCGTTTATTTAAAAAAATCACTATAATTAATTTTTTATTTTATTCAAAGCCTTTGAGTTAAATACAAATTTTAGAAAAGATCAACAATAAAAAATTATTCAAAATATAACAAATTTTTTTTATAGCATTTAAACATCAAAACCGCCATGGTCAAGCGCCAAGTGTAAAGAAAAAAAATTATAACCGTGGTCAGTTCAGTATGCAATCACATGCTATTCCTGTCTAGAATATTTATGCCATCTATGACGCATGTTCAAGAACTAGATCATTTAATACCTTATTTCAAAGAAAATCTGTTTGTTTTTATAGTATAAAAAACCAGGTTGCATTTGTAAATGTTCCTAACTAATATTTTTCTTAATTTATATATTTAACTATTTTTATTTGTTATTTATTGTATTTACATGTTTTAAGTTTATATAGGGTAATATTTTGTAAGTGTGTAAATACTTTTTTTTTATAAAGTTTTTCTGTTTGTGATGTGTTATAATTTTGTGTTGATAGTTTATAGTAAGTGGTTATTATGTTATTTCCATGGTTTCAAAGTGTAGTGGCTGGGCTAGTGTAATGTGTATTACTATATGTGTTTATATGTGTTAAGGTTATATGGGTTTATATTTTGTTTGTGTTTAAGTGTCATAATAATGTCAATATTTATGTGTAATCTGTTATATATAAGTGTTTTGTTATGTGTGATCATATAATGTGTTTATAGATGGTAAGTGGTTACTTCGTTGTTTCCGTGGTTTCAAAGTGTTATGACTTGGCTTAGATACAGCAAGAATCCTTGCTAGCTAAGTGATGTACTTTTCTATGATGTGAATTGGCTTTGTTGAGAGCAAAAATGTTGTCTTTGCTAGACAAGGCGGTGTATTGTCTTGATGAGTCACATTATAAAATCTGTTTGTAGTTAGTGTAATCATAAAATATGTAATTTTTAGTTAGATAACACATTTTAATAAATATTTCTTATTGCTAGTACAGTTGTTGCAACAACATCAACAAGTGCCAACAGAAGCAGGAGCATCTGCTGAGGAGCGATATCTGCTGAGGAGTGACATCTGCTAAAGTAAATAAGTTTAGTTTTTATAGGTTATTATAAAAATAAAACTTTAGATTTCTATGTATTTACTGTATGAAGCCTTTTTGGCATTTGGAAAACAGAATAAGGGGCCCACAGGTCCCACCATAGGTTTATAGAAATAGACTGTTTTAAATGTTTTTGTAAATTTTAAATAAAATTTTAAAAATATATAAATTTTTTTATTTCAATTTTGTTTATTAGCTAGCAGTTCCTAAAGTCTTGTTTAAATGAATGTTTCATTTCACTAGAGTTACACTGGTGGATCAGATGTATTTTTTTTAATGTTTACTTTACTGTAATATGTTATGCTTTTTGTAATTTTGTGATGTTATTATTATGTTGTTTTGTGTTGATAGACGACTTGGGTCACCTTCACATTGGTGTCTATAATTAAAAACAATTATTTGGTAGTTTCATTACTGAAATTGACGACATTTAATCATTGACTAAAAGTCAAGTACTCAGTTTTTAATAATAAAAAAAAAAATTAAAACTGAAAGGTTTATCTTACTGTGATTATTTTTTTTAACCTTGCTTTTTTAAAAAGAGTTGGTAATCTAAAATTGCAACAATAAACCTTGCTTTTTCAAAAAGAGTTGGTAATCTAAAATTGCAACAATAAATCTTGCTTTTTTAAAAAGAGTTGGTAATCTAAACTTGCAACAATAAATCTTGAAATTTTCACAAAAGGAAAACAACCTCACAAAGTAAATTCTTATTTGTTAACTGCTAAGTCACAATTCTGAGATGTTTTGAATTAAATAAATAGAGTACATAAAACATATGTAATAAGCGTTTTCAATAATAATATTATTCCATTTTTAGTTCAAATTCCTTCTCTTATGACTGATTTTTAAAAGTTCCTACATAGCAGAATTTAAGAAATGTTCTGAATAATGACTGTTTTCTAAAGGCTAAAACAAAGTTTGATAATCTTGATACCATTTACTAAAAGCTATATAATAATGAAACAATGTTATAATTTATATTGGTTTTATAAGCAATATAAATTATAGCAATATATATTTATTTACAAAAAACCACATGCATCTCCTGAGAAGGCTTGGGTCATAAAATATTTTTTTTAAAGTGAATAAATCTGGGTCTAATATAAGAGTGAAGTTATATAAAAAATTAAAAAATTAATATTCTTTTATATTTAAAATAAGTTTTTTGAAAATGAGTGAAATTTTTTTAGCATAAAAATGATGTTGGATGAAATTTTAAATATGCTATGTGTTATCTGTAAACTTTAATCAAAA